CCTTTGATGTATTGTTTTGGTGAGACCTATGCTTGGCAATACTTGACTCCAATATTTATATAATAGTCTAGAAAAATTAAGACAATAAACATTAAAAAAGCACAAAATGGATCTACCTGACGCATGCACCTATTATCCACAGTGTCATCTATTTTTCCATCACCTCCAGTTGAGGCCTGAGGATCTCCCAGAATGACAGCTCATCTCCAGACTACAGAGATCGGTTCCCCGGGAGGAAATGGCTGCTTTGGAAAGTGGGCTGTACGGCCTCGTACCCCACGGAGGTCCCTGTCCTCCTCAGGTTTCATCACCAACTCTCCAGAGAGCCAGTTTGGTGCAGTGGTTAAGATTTGATTCCCTATTCCTCCTCCACATGAGGCCTGCTGGTGTGACCTTGGGTCAACCACAGTTCTCTCAGAGCTGTTCTCACAAGAGCAGTTCTCTCAGAGTTCTCTCGGCCCCACCTACCTCACAGGGCGTCTGTTGTGGGGAGCAATGTTTCCCCTAAGCTGTGGAGTCCTGCGAGCAAAAATTCTCCTTTGTGGGCTATGGCCATTAAAGTTGTGAGCCAGCGATTCGGCTACTGTGTAAATCAGTTTGCTCTGGAGCCGTCCTCCCTGAGCTCAGACAAAAATGTGTGAGCCAGAGGCTAAAAAATTGTGAGCTAGCTCACACTAACTCAGCTTAGAGGGAACACTGGTGGGGAGGGGAAGGGAAAGGAGTTTGTAAGCCGCTCTGAGACTCCTTCGGGTAGTGAAGGGCGGGGTATCAATCCAATCTCTTCTTCTTCCAGTTTCAGTGGGTGTTTCTCTTCTGCACGTATTTTGCTCCCTCTAGTGGCCAATTCAATATTACACTTGATTATGTCTGGCATAAAACCCTGCAGTTTCAGTTTCAATCTGTAGAGATACACTGGTCATGAACTAATGTAATATCATGTCGCATCTGATTTGGGTAGCTGCAGGATGCTCCCGTCACGGTACATCCCCCAACTCTCTTTAGTGTCATTCGCCTCTGTCATCCTTCATGGCAAAACACATGCATGCAAAGAGTCCCCCCCCCCAAGAGCTTGAACCAAGCAGGAGCCACACGGAGGCCCCTCCCCTCCCGAAACCCTCCCCAAACCCCACCCTCTCCCGGATCCCACCCCCACAGTCTCCAGGTATTCCCCAATCCAGAATTGGCAGCCCTAGTTGGGGGCTGACATGGATCAGGGGTGTGACACCAAGAAAGGGGAAAGTGCAAGTCTCCCCACGTGTGCCGTTTCCCGCAGGGCCGGCGTTGGGCCCGAAACGGGATAACCCCGCGATCCTTCGGCCAGAGCTATTTGGGGTAAGGGCCGGTCTCCAAAGGGGACCGGTGAGCTTCCGCTGACCTGCAGCCTCTTCCTCTTTGAACAGAATGCAGAGAAGAGCCATGCTGGACTTCTGGAACAAGCCCACCACCGTTTCGTTCAGGGGGTCCTTGTTCTTCTCCAGCCACCCGGAGATGTTGTAGCCCACCTAAGGGAGAAGAGCAGAGAGGTTTCAGGGGCCCGTCCTTGCGATATCTGCCC